CAAATTCAAATCTAATTTTGCACAAATCATACGCTTGGCTTGAGATCACGACTTAATTTTTGTAGATCGAGCTAGCGAAGTCTAAAATCGCAAGTGAGGAGAGACCAGTCAGAATTGTTAGCAGACCTCCAACATGCACATGGAATGATAGCGTACTGCCACATGTCTTGGAAGCATACTGTCGTTGCTCTTGGCCCACAGAAGATTTTATAAGGAATGAGTTGGCAAAGCTTGAAGCCGGGGATGTTGCCATCCATCCAGTCGACGAGCACCGCAGCTTAGTTGTGTTTGCATCAAGGAACGATGGTAAGTTTTGTTTAAAAAAAGATCAAGTCGCTGGTTGTGTGTATGTGTTGTATGGTTGGACATGCACGCGTATTTATGCATGTACAAAAATGGGATGGAGGTTCCGGGTTCTTAGCTGGACAAAGCAAAGCTTCTTCGATTTAAAATCTTTCTTTAGAAAATAGCTTGGTTTGCTTTATTTGCCTGGCAAGTCTCTTCAAGCGGTTGGTTGATTCATGATTTAGCGCATTAGTTTGAACCTGTTTAAGTGCACTGTGATAAAAATTGTGCATTTCGAGTCTTTAAGAAGAAAGAAAGAGGTCACTGAGTTATTATGAATTGATTGTCCAGAAATTTGTGAATTGATCATCACTGTATTGTGTTGCGCAAGCGGCCTGATACTATGCATTTGGCACTTATCAAAACTTTACTGGGTCGGGTTGGAAGACAAATTTGCGGTGACTATTTTATATGCTGCTCGAATGGCAGGGTAGGGTAGAGGTAGGTGGGAGAGAGGAAGGATTGAAGTGCCTTAAATTGGACAGAATGAACATTTTATTAGTAAGAATAATGGTGAAGCATTGTAAAGAAAAGTACTTCTTTTTGAAAATTCCATAGAGGAGAAGGTATTATTTTTTATGCAAAAAATATGAAAAAGAAACTGAAAAGGAATGTTTCGGTCCATGAAGTCGTATTCATTTCTTTTCACTGCCAGAGGTGAACCTCGTTACTATGACAGCTGTGGCTTGAATGAAATTGTTAAGAAAGGGAATGCGGAAATGAAAGGTGAACTGAAAAATAAAAGTAAAAATAGAAAAAGGGGAAAGGAGGTAGGAATTGCTCGGAGACAGGAATTGGAAAAGGGGAAAGAGGGAATATGAATTTATGATGCTCAGCAAAAAACTTGGTGCCAGGCCAGTGGTGGTAAGATTACGTGTGATATCACACGTACCTGAAATCTCATCTTGACGAAAAAACCGGTAATTTTACACGACTACGAGTTTCGCAACTCAGACCTAGATCCAAAAGTGAATGCTGTATGAGCAGCCTCTCCGAGTTTTGCTAGTTGCCATGCGATCCTTTGACTTTTTTATGCGTTTTACGCTGGGACAGCATTGCAAAATGCATGAAAATAAATGGGAAGTAGCGCAAAACGCGTATTATCGAGACTCATATATACATATATATGTTCGGAAATCTTTCTAGACTTAACTTAGCAGCCAAATAAACAATGAAGCTAGATTTTGAGGGTGTCTTCTGCTCGTGTCTGGCCCGCTTACTTAAAATCAGCTTTTGATTCACCTAAAAGCTAAATCGTAAAAGTGCTCGCGCCATGTGAATTTAGAAATCAGACGAAACAGAAAACTGAAATTTTAAGGCGGAGCGGCATATTCTGGAATTTTATCCCCAGTATCCAGTATCCAGTATCCACCTACGTCTACATCTCACGGGTGTGTGGAATTTCAGCGGGAGATTTCCCGGAACTAAGCAGGATAGAAAGCAGAAATTTTCAGTGGATGTTCCTTGTCCACGTGCAACTCTGGAAATCTAGATTCAAGTTTCCATATATACTTACGTCGTAACTGTACCAACTGGTCTATTGTTCTGTGAACAGTTACTAATGTTATTAGAGTGCTGCTATGTTATTACATGCTGTCTCTGTTGATCCATTACTAAATGTAAATTGCTGACATGTAAGGCTTGCTTTTTGCTGGTTCGTATCAAACTGCAGTCTCACGCAGTGAGGTGATGATTAAAGTGGTACGTGAATGGATGATACAAGACGCTAGAAAAAAGGCAGTTTGGACAAATGCGGGGTATGAAGCAGTGTGAGGAAATGTTAGCAGAACTGTGCAAAATACATTATCGTGCGCCGCTGTTCGATCAATGAAAAAGGATTGGTTTTCAGCTGCGCGAACGTTGATTACTGCTGGTGCGCAGAATCAGAGCAGTCTTCCGGAGGCGATGCAACTTCGTGCGCTTTGTGATGCCTCTGAGATTTCACAAGACAAGGCTCGTAAGGATGAGCACCTCCTTGGCCCCTATGTTTCCCGTCGTCCAACTACCACCGCTCTTGTGGCTCGTCGTTTGATCGAGGAATCTCTTGGTAAACGTTCGAATGTGTCCAAGCAGCAAATTGATGAGGAAAAGCAGCAGCTAAAGAATGCAAAGGGTTCGTTGCTTGATTTTTATTTCTTCTGCCACTCACTTTTTGCGCCTAATTTGAAGGACAAGCGTTGCGTGCTGCATGATTGTCGTCGTTTCAGTAAAACACATCTGTTTCATAGTAAAACACATCGCATTAGTGTTATATCTGCCATCTCGCTCTTTTCACTGTCTCTGATGACAACTTTAGTTTACGGGTTCGAGGAGAGTTTTTTTCCAGTGAAAAAAGGGTTTGTTTTGCCTTGGATGCTTTATTCGTTGCGTTTTCAGGAAGTTATCTTCTGCGATGATGTTTGTAACTGCTTTTTTGCCCTGTGCAGTTTTCGTAAATCTAGTGATCCTGCAGGGCAGCAACCGGCAGTCATCTCTCTCTGTAAATATCAAAAAATGTTTTACAGAATTAAAGCAGCTCCGACAATCGGTTTGGGATGATTAAACGGACTGGCTGATTGCGACTCTCACTACACTGGTGACATGCCAACCCGAGGAAGTGCAATTGATAAGTGACCCAAAGTGACTGTATTTTGGCAGCAAAGAGGCACCCGTTGTTACAGGCGAATTGGCACCCGATAATTTTATCCTCGTTATTTGTGCTTTCCTCAATTTTTCTTCTTTTTTTTCGATGATATCCCGGCGACTCGCAGTTTTTTGCCCTCCCCGTCCTGTGTTCTCCCCCTTCCTACCTTGCTTTTTATGACATATCTATCTCAGTTGCAGCGCCATCGCTGTCACATTTGTTTTATCGCCCTTAATCTTATTGTTTATCATTAATATAGTAATGGTGCATAAAATAATTTTAAGTGTATTTCTTCCCTCTCCTCTCCCTCTCATTCTCACCTGTAGCGCCGCTTTATCCAAACTGCACGGTGCCATCTCTTTTAATTGCTGTTCAAAATTTTGGCACACATTGTTTGGTGTTGCGGCTGTTGCTTTTTCAGCTGCATGCTGATTTTAGGCAGGACGCATGTAGAAGTCACAATGCTAAACATAGGAGCACAGTTTCCGCTGCACAGTTTTATGGATGCTAATCACAACGATGGCATTGAGAATGATGCATCAGTGATGGGCAATTAATAGGCATGCATGTGCAGTCCGCTTTGCACTGCTTTTGTTTGGATTCAGTGCGGAGTGTGTTTGCAGTGTGTGTGTATGTGTATGCGTGTTCGCATTTGAACGAATAGGAGCATATTTCGGTATGGCGTGGAGCAACTCGTCCAGTGCTCGGACAAAGTTTTCCCACGAAGCATAGTGCAACACACGACAATCGTGCGCTCAGTACGATCCATTTGTTGCTTTCTTGTGCATGCAAACAAATGCTGGATCATTGACGGCTCGGTGTTGACAGGACGAATCAGGAGAGTGTTGAAGCAGCATGCAACATAATCCATACTTACTTCTTTTGGGAATGTAACCGTCGTTGTTTGTTTTGGTTTTCCCATACAAAACAACATTTGTCGACCGACACAAATACGAAGAAACCGTTTTGTCAGCTTTGCTTTTGTTCCTCTCTTCCTACTATTTGCTTCCTTTAATGATTTCACAAATCCGCCTTCGATTATTTTTGCACATTTTCGGTATTTGCGGTTTTGCTTTGTTTTTAACCTCAAACACATTTTGGTGTTCAAGAGAGTTTCGAGCGACGGTCCTGTCCCGTGTTTGTTTAAACGCGGCTAACATTTTCGCTGTTTTCCCCGTCAAAGCCTTCGTTTTTCTTTTTTTTTTTTTTTTTTCACTGGGGCATGGGTAGTAGGACATTTTGAGCACTCGTATTTCATAGCAGCAAATTGCCTTTCCAGGTATGTCTTTCCTGATTTCTCACCCTATCATTTGCTAATAAAACAGTTTGGACGACTGCTTCTGCTGGTGCAGCGGCTGTGCTGCAAAATCCGTCTTGGTATTCGTTCGCTTCGCCGAAATTCCCCAGTTCATCGCCTCATAAATGTTCTTTTACATGCTCTCCTTACTGCACGCTCTCATATAATATGCAAAGTTAATCTCTCTGTATGTTGGTGGATGGATGTGTGTTTGTCCCTTGGAAAAGTGCACACTGCTGTGCTGTCTCTCACAGGTTGCGTTCTGATGTTGAATTTCATATGTGCGGAGCAATGTGCGTTGTGCTCCCATTTCATCTGATCTGAATCTAGCTGTATTATGGTTGATGAAATGCGCTACAATTCAGTTTATGCTCATGAATAATGAAGCGTTTCGGTGTCGAATTTTTTTTTCCCGAACTGCATTATACTGAAACAAGTGTTACGCACTCGAAGGGAATTCCTTGTTTAGTCATGGATGCTGCTAAATTCGTTCATGTTGCATTGAAAATGGAGTAGCTCAGTGTGCTCGAATTGATGCAGAGTCCGACTGAGGGAACGCAGATTACTAGGGTTTAAACAACACAATAGATCTGGTCTTGCCCGAGGGCCACTGTGGACCATTAGATTATGTCCACAGTTCACAAATTATTTATTCTCAAACGGAACAGTTCATCCTAAACGCGGTGTCGCTTTGCGGTTGTTGTGTGCAGACCTACTTGTTAAAAAATTCCCAGATTTAGAGCTACGGATGAATGCCGACTCCCAGCTGGTAAGCAGTAGTAACGTCTAAGGTGTGTGGACCAACATGCCAGCAGTAACATTTCGAATCAGCTAAAGCCTTGCCTGATGCCTCTGAAGGTGAGATGCTGAGGAACTGTTTTCGACTGTGGTGCAATTCTGTGGTGTTTTGCCAAAGAAAAACAGCGTTTGATGTTGAAGAACCGAACGAAAACTCAGCATGTACGAAATCTTTGTTTCTTAAAATCTGGCGTGCCAGACCTTTCGTAAATTTTAACAAGGTTTTTCCGTTGCTAGTGATTTGGGGGGGAAGAAAGTAAGCTACGAAGAAGTCACCCTTTAATTCACTTACAGTTGTTCTACCTTATAATTAGCACAAGCAGCTACGACAAAAGTTTCTAGCTAGCACATATCTGTTTTTTAGAACCGCTGTGATTATTATTTTAGAATTCGTAATGTTGCAGTGATAAAGCCACAGGATGAAACAAACATTCTGAACCCTTCCGTACTAATTCCACAGCCACCAGTCCTATTATCCACACACACACACACACAC